TCAGATGGGGCACGAAGAGAAATCACGGGCTCGCTTGTGCGATCCGGCTGTGTGGGAGGGGGCCGAAGCGCTGACAACTAGAAGGTCAAATGCTCACTGCCCCAGAGAGGTGCGTGGGGAGGGAGCTTGCTGCAAACTCGTCACATGCCTCTGGGCTGAGAATCCCTCTCCCAGCGTCTTTCCTTCCCGCAGTTTCTTGAAGCCCTCTGAAGTAAACTGATGTGGTGTTATTAATGGGGTCTATAATGCTCCAGTCGAAAGCGCGTGTGTTGGAGAAGAGGGAATGAACTTATCTAACTGGTCCGCGAGAGATAACAGTAGAAAGACTTTTCTCATCCCTCAGCCCCTGTGCACAAAGGTAAAAGGGTTAAGTAACGACAGAGGAATTAAGCAAGGTTAATTTCTTACTGGTGTACGTATGTGGAACAAGGTTTGTGTTTCTCTCTGACCTCACTTTTGGGGGTGATGTGCATTGTGTGAATCCCCTGAATTTTGCTCGACTGTTGGAGGAAAAGGGAGGAAAGGCTTTTAACATCTCCATTAATACCCTTTAATAATAACAATAACTGGGTGATGTCTTAATCCCAGTGACTCTCTGTCAGAGGGTATGCCTGCCAACCTGTATCTGTTTCAATCTGATTGACGGGCTAACAGCAGGATGCTGCCTCCATCGCAGAAGCGAGAGGCACAGGTGAGCTGGGAGGAAAACTGAGATCTGAAGAGGGTTTCCTAATAGGGGTATTTGGGTTCTTTCAAGTGTTGCAGACGTACTCATTAAACACAAGGAGCTCAGGGCCAACGTGATGGTCGTGTAAGGAAATGAAACTAGAACCATTGATTATCCAGACAGTTCTCAACAGCCTCCTTCCAGGAGATCTCATGAGCGGCTGTGTAAAAGGGAATAACGGTGGCGATGGTAGAGGTAAGAGAAAATTAGTGCGGGGTGCACTTAAAAAAGAGTAAAGTAGGAAACAAACCCCTGATGAGAGTGATGTGGAGATCAGAGCAACAAACTGCGGTAATGCCTGGGAATCTCCTGTGCTGTTGATGGAGTAGTTATGCTCGAGGAGAAATTATGCTCGCTTTTAAAAGTGTGCTGGAGAAATTGGGGACAGGAGGTGAGATTGAGAGAAGAAACTCTTTTTATGAAGAGGTTATTTTACCTTTGTACATTCCTTTCTGCCTGCTTCAAATGGGCTCCACTTGCCCGCTCATCTGTGAATGTTAAAAGGGGATGCTGGACCTGCATAGGTTACAAATGGACTAAAATGGAAGCTTTTGCTAACTAAACCAATTCCTTTTGAAATCAAGCTTGAATGAGCTTGTTAATAAAAATGGGTCTGTTTTACTCCCCTAAATGGCTCTTTTTTTTCCCTTTTTTTTTTTTCCCCAGAGGCCAGTCTGATTTCTACCATCTAAAAATCCTGGCATTGTGGCTAGTATCCAATTCTCCCCTTGATGGGTTTTTTTTTGAGGTGTTTTCTTCTTTTGAGGTCTCTGCCAGCAGTGGGGGTATTCATAGTTATTACTGTGTGGAGAAGGCAGGATTTCAGAAACGTCGTGTCCCCCGTCCCCCCACCCCCCATAGCCCTGATGCATCGCAAGGAGGACACTTGCTGCCTAGTAGGTAGAGGTTGCAATGTGCTCCTTGCTTTTGCATCCCTGAAGGCTACTTGGCAAGATGGGCCATGGCCATGGCCTCAGGGGCAGAGCCCCTGGGTCGGTGCTGTAATGGTGCCTTTTAGAGGCGTGTGCTAGCCAGTGAGACACCAGTATCACCTGTGAAGTCTAACAACCACTATACGGCTTTGTGAGTGAAAAGCTTCCTTGGCAAACACTCTGTGGTGCCGAGAGAAGTAGTAGACGTGCAATAATACTTTTCTGTGGTCTTTACAGATATCATTGAGGATGAAGGGGCAGACTGAAAAAATAACAACAATAATGATGTTTTTGACTTGATGTGTTGTGGCATCACGTCAAGTTATGTCAGGGAGGTAACATCATTTTGTGTGTTTGAAGTGACATAATATAACTTGACTGATGCAACCTGACTTGATATTAGAAAATACCGTTTTACAGTGGAACTTCGGCAAATATCTTCCCGAAACAAATGTTAGGGCGTGAGAGAAGGGAGACGGGGGGTGGGGGGGAGGGGGGAAGAGAAAGGTTGAGAATGAAAAACTTCAAGGCTTGCATTTTAGTCAGTTCCACTGCGTAAATCACTGCTGAATTTGCTGTGAGCAAGCCAACCTACGCACCATGCAGCGCATTTATAAATTTCAAGATAATGAGAGTTAAGATATTTCTCAAATACATAAATGTTTTGATTGCAAAGACCAGTTTTCTGCTTAAAAAAGTAAACTGACATCAGGTATCATGATTAATTCCAACAGATTGTGTTAATTGTAGTTGACTTTAATTGCTGTACAAATGTGTTGGGGGTTAGAAAACTTCTTTTATTGTTGGTGTATGAAGTGACTAAGCAGATAAAGTGTTTAAAAATACCCATTTGTAAAGGGAGTAATCCAGTCTCTATGACATGCTGAAGCAGTAAAGGAATAAAACGTACATTGATCTGGTACTGCGTATTTTTTACAAGTGCATTATGTCTGCTAGTTTGCTCTGCCACAGAAGTCAGCTGCAAGAGGCAATGGGTAACTTCATTTTTATCAAAAATCTGCCTTTCTTCTAATTACCAAATAGTGTAAGATATACCATATATTTTGGGGTAAGTTTGTCCATTTTGAAGGTGATAGTGTTGAAAAGTACGCAAACAGAAAGATGGAGCACTTTTGGAGTTCACCGTTTTCTAATGGAGGCCAACAGTATATTAGAAGTATTAAAATACCTCAGATTTAGAAAGCCTGTGTTTTTGTTACCTTTTGCACTGATGCTTTCAACTATTAGGCTTTAATCTTTGGGATAAAGTCCTCCTCCTCCTCCTTTTTAGCTTGTGATACTTCTTAAAATAAAATTAGTATTTATGGTGGTCACACTCTTACGCTAAAATACACATTCAACACTTGCAAACTAGTATCGCTAGGAAACAGGAGTTGTTCGAAGTACTAGATGAAAATGGTTCAATGTAAAATGATACATTTAACATCAAATATGCTCAAGGACTGTTAGGATTAAGTATTCTGAATGAAGGGGGAAGGAAAAGCCACTTCCGCTGGGGATAAGGAATCTAATTAAAAATCGGTATTAAGGATATATAACTTGAGCCGGCTATCATGCTTTTTAAAGTACCGTTGTATCAGTTGTAAAGGGGAGGAAGAAGTATCATTAAAGCATTTTTGAATGAAATGTTTTCTCTGATTACAAGACAGAGATGAGTGAAATGGTGCTGTTGATCTTGGTAGCAAGGCGTCTGATCCCGCAATCCTTATGAGCGCCATCGGAGACAACAGATGACTTGTCTGGATAAGGATTGCGAGTTGCGAGAGGAAGGATAAAAGACGTGGGCCCCAAACTTGTCAGTTTATATTTGGGCATTGATGGCATCTCTGAAAAGTGGAGCAAACCTGTAAGGGTTTGTACCGCGTTTGATTTGTTAAATTCATTTTAATATCGACCTAGTGAAAATGGAGCTATATTCTCCAGAGTATTCCCTGAAACTAATACGTACATGTGAAAACAAACCCAAAATGTTTGTACAGAAAACTAGTATCGAGTTTTAGGTCACGGCAGATGTGTGGAATCCAGCCGCGAGTAGCGGGGCTGGTGTAACGCAGCCTGGGTCGCCGGCATCTGCTGCGGAGAGTTCCGAGTCTCTGACCTGCCAGAAGCTCCTGGCTGGTTTCAGACAAAATCCCCGCTCTTAGGGGAGCAAATCTGGAATAACACCCCTGCTTTGGACCGGCGCGTTCATAAACACAAAGAGAGCAGCGTCGGTTTAAGATGCAGCCCGTCAGGCGCCGTTCCCGGGCTTTTCCCCGCGGCTCGGTCCCCGGGAAGGAGAAGCCGGGGCTGCCGCTACCTGCGCGGCGGAGGGGCCGGGGCTGGGCTGCAGGTGGTGCTGCTGAGCTGGGAAGGCTGCAGTTTGCCAGGAAACCCTGACAGGAGAATGAGAGGGGTCCCTGGGAAATATGTGCATTTATTCAATAGCAAGTGTGCAAAGCTCACAAATTGAGAGGCAGAGGCAGCAGTAGTCAGGCTTAGGTATTCGACCCTCTCTGAATATAACTTTAGATTTAGATTCAGCTTAAATCCAAAGGGAAAACACTTTATAAGGTTGAAAGCTGTGTAGTTGCAACAGCCAGGGTTATGAGCTATCAAATGCAATTACATTAAAATAGATTATACTGTGTAAATTGAGCCATTTAGAAGGTGAGAACCAAAGAAACAGCTCTGATCCCCCTTCTTTCTAAATTGCAGTTTTAGTTCCTCGCAATTCTGAGGCACAAAAGTAGGTGAGACTGCTTTTGTATCTGCAAAGTGCTTTATTTCTGAGTGTAATTCTAACTGAGTGCAATCTAGGTTAAAAGCTGGACAACTGGGTAATTAGAGCTCACTTGCTGCTAAAGGACGATCAGCTGTACCGTAGCTCATTTGTGTTCCCAGAGACTTGTTCTCTTCTCCCCTGAGCGGAGGCTGCTGGAGAAGAAGCATCTGTCCCCGGACTTTTCTTGATTGCGGAGATGATGGTGCTGGACAAGGAGGACGGTAGGTGGGCTGAGATTGTGTTAGCCTGTGCTTGGTGTCTTCTGTGTGCTGCTAACGTAGAAATAAATAGTTTTGAAACAGATGCACGCTGTGCATATCAGAGTGCTCTGCTTTCAGCTTCTGATATTTTCCTCTTGTGTTGGTAAAAGCATGCTTGCTCTTTTTTTTTTTTTTTTTTCCCCTCATCTCTTCTCTGGCGTGATCGAACCAGTCGAGAAGGGTTTACCCCAGGCTCTGTTTGCTGAAGGACACAGCAGAAACAGCTTGAATTTGGTTTTCTTATATCTATTTAGATTTTTCTTTCTACAAGTTACTCTAATATATCCATTTTAGCCTGTTTATTTTAACAGCTTTTATTGTAAATCTAATTTTGAGATTTTCTTTCCTTTCCATTGCATGTCATTTGGGTCTCCTTAATGTGCGCCTTTAATATCTATTTCTTGCAGCTTTTCTTCATAGCTATAAACATAATGACAATAAGCTAATAAGCTGCTCTGGCAAAAAAGCATTGGCTTATTCTAAGAATTTACTCCCTTCTCTAAATGGCAGAAGTGGAGGTTCATTTGGGAGGTAATTTAATGAATGAAGCTGAAGGAGAGCTTGACTTACTTTAGGACTTTACATATACTTATTTTTTTAAAGCTGACTAGTCCTTATCAAGGACGACTAAGGGGTATGAATTGATGTAAAGAATAATAGATAGCATTAGTTAGTAGTTTGAATGACCTGATGCCTTCTTTTGCACGTTGCCTACCAGGGTGGGCAACTTAACTGCTCAGTCACCAGTAGTTTCTAGGACGAATGTGGTAAGTCTAATCACAACTTTTTAATGAGGTTTTTCTAAGGCTGCTTTGTGGCTTAGGTCTTCCCTTATAGCTTGTACACTGAAAGCAAAGCTTAAAACTGAGGTAGAGTGGAACGCTTCTGTAGCCATCCAGGTGAACTTCCATCGATGGCGCTGCCTCTTGCCAAAGACCTCCACCTTGGCAGCACTTTGTGTATTGAAAGTGGGAACTACATCTTTTAACGCACATTTGTAGCTATTATCTCATTGTTTCATTTCACCTTTATAAATGGATGAAGTGTGCCGTGTAATGGGTGTGTTGCTGGATTCTCTGATCTTTTAAATTTTTTTTCAGAAATCTCTCTAAGTGTTAAAAAAAAAAAAGTTATAGGCAGTTGTCATTTGGAAGTAGAAGAAATTACTGCATATTTGCAAGACTGTAGACAAGAAACAGCTTTTCATAGGGAGCCAAAGAGCTTGGAGAAATTGAAAGTTGAGCATTTTGGCAGTAGCATTGATTTCACTTGAATATATGTATTGCTTTTTAAAATATTTATGAGAAAAATAACTTGTAATTCAAAGTCCTGTGTCAGATTGGTGCTAATCACGTATTGTGAATAGTACTGAAAGCTGCCCAATGCTAATAAGTTGGAGCAATAGGATTTTTGTTCCCTGACCCATATCTGTCTTCTGGTATTTTAGAACGGAATTAATACTGTACTGGAGAATAGTTAGGAAAGAATGCTTGACTATTGAAAATAATGGATGGATGCTCAATTTTAACCAAAGGTCTTCTACTGAAGTTTCTCTTCTCTCTCTCCCCGCTCCTTGCCTCCCAAAAAAGGGTGAGGGGGGAATACTACCCAGGATTTTACATCTAGCATTTTGAGGTCTTTATCTCATAGTAGGTTTGATTTCTAAAATTATCAGCCTGGTGTATTCATGTGCGTAGAATTTGAATCTAGTTTCTGGGGTGGGATGTGAGGTTTTGTTTCATTCTGATGTGAAACACTTGGCACAATGAAAAAATGTGAATGGACTTTTCACAAAGATTTTACACCTTTAAAATATGAGACCAAGCAGAAATGCGTCATGATCACTGCCCTCTTGTATGCAGATTCGATCCGATTTTGACTAAGAGTTGACCAATGTGGGGTCAGTGCCCGTGTATAAGTTGTCTTGCCCTTCTGAATTTATTCTGTGCTAATTAAGTTGGCATCCTAAAACTGTGAAATAATCTTATTCAGGGAAAAAAAAAAATCCTGGGCTTTATTTCTGTTGAGATCTCATAAGTTTCTTTGTTAACACAGTAGAACTTTAAAAAAAAGAAGTAGATGTGAAGCATCTGTTACACATCTTCTAGATCCGCTCTGCAGTTGACTGGACTGTGGATAAAAGACACGCTAAGTGGTTGAGTATTGCTTATGCTGGGAAAACAAATGAAGCTAACAGGGTTTCAAAGGCTTTGAAGCAGTGTCGCTCTCAGAGGTGTTCAGTTGTTTTCTTTGGCAATATAAGTTGAAGCAAGCTAGTTTACTTTATTAGAGGCATAAGGCTACTCTTTTAACCTTCCTCTGACTAAGATGAATTTGGCTGATTGACCTTATTTCTTTCTGGACCACACGTGTTGTGCTGGGTTTGGGGATTTTGTTTTTTCTCCTCCTTAGGACCTCATCTCTTTTAAAGGACAGCAGCATTTTCCATATTTTGTTAAATC